AGTGAGTGGGGAGCTAACATGATTTAGCCCAGACTCCCAGTGAGTGGGGAGCTAACATGATTTAGCCCAGACTCCAGTGAGTGGGGAGCTAACATGATTTAGCCCAGACTCCCAGTGAGTGGGGAGCTAACATGATTTAGCCCAGACTCCCAGTGAGTGGGGAGGTAACATGATTTAGCCCAGACTCCCAGTGAGTGGGGAGCTAACATGATGCAGACCAGACTCCCAGTGAGTGGGGAGCTAACATGATGCAGACCAGACTCCCAGTGAGTGGGGAGCTAACATGATGCTGACCAGACTCCCAGTGAGTGGGGAGCTAACATGATTTAGCCCAGACTCCCAGTGAGTGGGGAGCTAACATGATGCAGACCAGACTCCCAGTGAGTTGGGAGGTAACATGATGCAGACCAGACTCCCAGTGAGTGGGGAGCTAACATGATGCAGACCAGACTCCCAGTGAGTGGGGAGGTAACATGATGCAGACCAGACTCCCAGTGAGTGGGGAGATAACATGATGCAGACCAGACTCCCAGTGAGTGGGGAGCTAACATGATGCAGACCAGACTCCCAGTGAGTGGGGAGGTAACATGATTTAGCCCAGACTCCCAGTGAGTGGGGAGCTAACATGATTTAGCCCAGACTCCCAGTGAGTGGGGAGCTAACATGATTTAGCCCAGACTCCCAGTGAGTGGGGAGCTAACATGATGCAGACCAGACTCCCAGTGAGTGGGGAGCTAACATGATGTAGACCAGACTCCCAGTGAGTGGGGAGCTAACATGATTTAGCCCAGACTCCCAGTGAGTGGGGAGCTAACATGATGCTGACCAGACTCCCAGTGAGTGGGGAGCTAACATGATTTAGCCCAGACTCCCAGTGAGTGGGGAGCTAACATGATTTAGCCCAGACTCCCAGTGAGTGGGGAGCTAACATGATGCAGACCAGACTCCCAGTGAGTGGGGAGCTAACATGATGCAGACCAGACTCCCAGTGAGTGGGGAGCTAACATGATTTAGCCCAGACTCCCAGTGAGTGGGGAGGTAACATGATGCAGACCAGACTCCCAGTGAGTGGGGAGCTAACATGATGCAGACCAGACTCCCAGTGAGTGGGGAGCTAACATGATTTAGCCCAGACTCCCAGTGAGTGGGGAGGTAACATGATGCAGACCAGACTCCCAGTGAGTGGGGAGCTAACATGATGCTGCCCAGACTCCCAGTGAGTGGGGAGCTAACATGATGCAGACCAGACTCCCAGTGAGTGGGGAGCTAACATGATGCAGACCAGACTCCCAGTGAGTGCAGTGGTGCCTCAGGACAGACTAGCGGCAGCAATTAGCGGAGCTAAAGGGGACATCGGCTGCGCTGATAAACAGACATGATCCTCTCTTAAATCAGTAGATGACGTGAGACACATTTGATAGAAGTAGCAAACTATTTTTCATGTTATAGCTTCGGAAAAAGTACAGAAGTTTCGGTATACCGTGCAACACTACCACAGAATTCATATCAAACCATGGAACCAGACTCTGTCACCAGTGAGGCTTGGGCCTGCCAAGCCAGCCAGCCCACTGAGGGGTTCACTGCAGCCCAAAATAATTGTGACCCAGAAGACTAAACCAGTTCTCAGTTGGTGAGAGGGACATTCACTTCACTGGGTAGGGACATGGAGGTACAGAACATCATCACCCAGTTTAAAGATCCAAACAAGGTCACCATGTACCAAGTACACCAAGTACAGAAAACAGCTTTTACTGTCACTATGTGGCAAGTACTGCATCTAAACTTTTACTGAAGTTCTCAAGCTATATTTTTCTAATCTTTTAAAAGCAAAACTAGTTAAAATTAGTATCCAGAGGCATGTAGGCTATGAGCACTCAATCAAGAAAGGCCTACTCAGGCAGGCCAGAAAGACAGACACACAGCTTTCTTTCTCCAGGCAGGCCAGAAAGACAGACACACAGCTTTCTTTCTCCAGGCAGGACAGAAAGACAGACAGACAGCTTTCTTTCTCCCGGCAGGACAGAAAGACAGACACACAGCTTTCTTTCTCCAGGCAGGACAGAAAGACAGACACACAGCTTTCTTTCTCCCGGCAGGACAGAAAGACAGACACACAGCTTTCTTTCTCTGGGCAGGACAGAAAGAGAGACACACAGCTTTCTTTCTCCCGGCAGCTCAGGTGACATCTTTAGTTACAGTGGTGAACATAACCCCTGGAGAACACCACACCACAGTCTCTCGAAACCATGAGTCTGCAGCCTGACCAGGAGAGGGCTTTAGACCTACCACTGCACCAGTGTTACTACCAGCCTGACTAGGAGAGGGCTTTAGACCTACCACTGCACCAGTGTTACTACCAGCCTGACTAGGAGAGGGCTTTAGACCTACCACTGAACCAGTGTTACTACCAGCCTGACTAGGAGAGGGCTTTAGACCTACCACTGCACCAGTGTTACTACCAGCCTGACTAGGAGAGGGCTTTAGAACTACCACTGCACCAGTGTTACTACCAGCCTGACTAGGAGAGGGCTTTAGACCTACCACTGAACCAGTGTTACTACCAGCCTGACTAGGAGAGGCTTTAGACCTACCACTGCACCAGTGTTACTACCAGCCTGACTAGGAGAGGGCTTTAGACCTACCACTGCACCAGTGTTACTACCAGCCTGACTAGGAGAGGGCTTTAGACCTACCACTGCACCAGTGTTACTACCAGCCTGACTAGGAGAGGGCTTTAGACCTACCACTGCACCAGTGTTACTACCAGCCTGACTAGGAGAGGGCTTTAGACCTACCACTGCACCAGTGTTACTACCAGCCTGACCAGGAGAGGGCTTTAGACCTACCACTGCACCAGTGTTACTACCAGCCTGACTAGGAGAGGGCTTTAGACCTACCACTGCACCAGTGTTACTACCAGCCTGACCAGGAGAGGGCTTTAGACCTACCACTGCACCAGTGTTACTACCAGCCTGACTAGGAGAGGGCTTTAGACCTACCACTGCACCAGTGTTACTACCAGCCTGACTAGGAGAGGGCTTTAGACCTACCACTGCACCAGTGTTACTACCAGCCTGACTAGGAGAGGGCTTTAGACCTACCACTGCACCAGTGTTACTACCAGCCTGACTAGGAGAGGGCTTTAGACCTACCACTGCACCAGTGTTACTACCAGCCTGACTAACTTACTTACTTACTTTATTGTCCCCATGGGGAAATTTTGTTGCAGTGTCATGTACACATTTAAAGTGGCGTTAAATACAAAACAAGATTGACAATACAACTTTCAATAACAGTCACGCACCAATAAAAGTAAGAAATAAAACATTTAAAACATTTAAAACAAAGACTAGCCTGCTGGCCTTACGGGGTCAATGGGAACATTTGCCCGAGCTATTTAAGAGGGATATCACAACTGGCACAAATGATTGTCTCGTTCTATTTTTCCTGCTGAGGGGTGCCCTATACCTACGCCCAGAGGGGAGTAATTCAAAGTCCAGGTACAGGGGGTGACTTGGGTCTAAAATGATTTTGTGAGCCTTACGGAGGGCCCTGACCTTAAAGATCTCATCCAGGCCTGTCTGTTTGACTCCAAGTACCTTACTTGCTGTGGTAATAATCCTTCTCAGCATGTTTCTCTGACTGACAGTGGCATTGCCAAACCAACAAACAATACAAAAAGTTAAAATACTCTCATAAAGGATTTGTAAAACAGAGTCAATATAGTACAGTCTATATTAAAAGAACCCAACTTTTTTTAGAAAGTACAGTCTCTGTTGGCTCTTTTTGTAGATCTGGTCTGTACATTTACTCCACTGAAGCTTACTGTCCAAAAACCCCAGATATTTATTTTCCTCTAAATTATGGAGAGGGTTTAACCAAACCACTGCACCAGTGTTACTACCACCCCGATAGGAGGGTTTAGACCTACCCGCACAATTTCACCACCTGACTAGGAGGGGGGTTTAGACCTACCATCACCAGTTTACTCCCCCTGACTAGGAGGGTTTTGACTACCACTGCACCATTAACCAGCCTCTGGGAAGGCCTTGACCACCCTGCACCAGTGTTACTCCCACCTGCTGGGAGGGGGTTTTGACCACCACTGCCCCAGTTTACTTAAACCCCAACTAGGTGGGCTTTAGACCTCCACTGCCCGGGTTTACTACCACCTTTACTGGGAGAGGCTTTAACCCCTCCCACTGACCGGGTTTTACTACCCCCTGACGGGGAAGGGCTTTAGCCTACCATGCCCCATGATACCACCTGACTAGGGGGGTTTAGCCCTCCCCATGCACCATTGTTACTCCCCAGCCTGACTGGGAGAGGCCTTTAGCCCCTACCATGCACCATGTTCTACCACCTGACTGGGAGGGGTTTTTTGCCCTACCATCCCCCGTTTTAATACCACCGACTGGGAAGGGGGCTTTAGATACCACTGCACCATTTTACTACCACCTACAGGAAGGGCTTTAACCTACACGACCAGTTTTTACTACCACCTGACTAGGAGGGGGTTTTAAACCTACCACTGCCCCAGTTTTATACCAGCCTGATAGGAGAGGGCTTTAGACCTACCCCGGCACCATGTTTACCATCCTGACGGGAAAGGGGCTTTAGACCTACCATGCACCATGTTACTACCAGCCGACTGGGAAAGGGGGCTTTCCCCCTTTGCACTCGCCAGTGTTACTCCCCCAGTGCTAGGAAGGGCTTTACCCTTCTGCCCTCCAGGTTACCCCCGCCTGCTGGGAAAGGGTTTCCCCTTCTCCCTCGCCATGTTACTACCGCCTGGTAGGGGGGGGTTTTCCCCCTTCTGCACTCCCGTTTACACCAGCCTGACTGGGGGAGGGGCTTTCCCTTCTGCACTCTCCCCGTTTTTACTACCACCTGACGGGAGAGGGTTTTACCCTTCTGCACTCTGCCAGTTTACTACCACCTGACTAGAGAGGGTTTACCCTTGCACTGGCCATTTTACACCACCCGGACGGGAGAGGGCTTTACCCTTCGCCCCCTTCCCCATGTTCTACCACCGATGGAGGGGTTTTCCCCTTTTGGGCCCCTCGGCCGGGTTTTAAATACCAGCCACTAGAAGGGCTTTCCCCCTTCGAACCTCGCCAGTGTTACTACCAGCCTGACTGGGAGGGGGGTTTTAAACCCTACCACTCAACCATTTTGTTATACCAGCTGACTAGGAGGGGTTTTTACCCCCCTTCTCACTCTCCCATGTTCCTACCAGCCACTGGGGAGGGGGGTTTAAACCCTTCTGCCTCTGCCGTGTTTACTACCACCACTAGGAAAGGGGCTTACCCTTCTGACTATCCCAGTGTTACTACCAGCCTGACTAGGAAGGGCTTTGACCTTACCATCACCAGTGTTAACCACCTGTAAGAGGCTTTCCCCCTACACGGCACCCCGGTTTTACTACCCCATAGGAGAGGGTTTAGACCCCACTGCACCAGTGTTACTACACCGACTAGGAGAGGGTTTTAAAACCCTTTGACTTCCCTTTTCTCCCAACCCCTACTAGGAGGGGGTTTTTTACCCTTTCACTCTGCCGGTTATACCAGCCTACTAGGAGAGGTTTTCCCCTTCTGCACTTCCCATTTTACTACCAGCCGACTAGGGGGGGTTTACCCTTCTGCACTCCCCATTTTTTACTCCCGCCTACTGGGGGGGGCTTTCCCCTTCTGCCTCGCCAGTGTTATACCAGTATAGGAAGGTTTTATCCTTCTGCACTCTGCCCATTTTACACCGCCTGACTAGGGGGGGGCTTTCCCCCTTCTGCACGCCCAGTTTTAACCAGCCTGACTAGGAGAGGGTTTACCCTCTGCACTCTGCCCAGTGTATACTACCCAGCCTGCCTAGAGAGGCTTACCCTTCTGGGTAACTACCAGCCTTACCTAGGAGGGCTTACTCTGCCAGTGTAACTACCAGCCTTACCTAGAGAGGGCTTTAACCCTTCTGCACTCTGCCAGTGTTTCCTACCAGCCTGACTAGGAGAGGGCTTTACCCTTCTGCACTCTGCCAGTGTTACTACCAGCCTGACTAGGAGAGGGCTTTACCCTTCTGCACTCTGCCAGTGTTACTACCAGCCTGACTAGGAGAGGGCTTTACCCTTCTGCACTCTGCCAGTGTTACTACCAGCCTGACTAGGAGAGGGCTTTACCCTTCTGCACTCTGCCAGTGTTCCTGAGGTTTACAACAGCTTTAACCCAACCCTGTTCCAGCCCCTTAGTTACCAACCCCACATCCCCATCCATCTTGTGTCAGTGTTGTGTAAACACATGCCACTCCAGCACCCACTAGTTCCCATCCGTAGAACGTACTGCGGCTTCACTTATGCCAGTGTCGTGTAAACATATGACATTCCAGGGGTGTAATCATTAGTCCAAAACGTTTTGCCGGGGAAAACCCATTTCTCCAACGGGGGAAAAAAAATTTTTTCAGGAAATTTTAAGTTTCTATTGGGGGAAATGTAGGGACTCCCCCAACATTTTTGGGGCCGTTTGGTTCCGTTTTTTTCCGTTTGGTTTTTGTTTGGTTCCCAAAAAAAAACACCCCGGGCCCCACGAGTCCCAAAAAGGCCCCGACTGAGGCTTCGCTTATAAATACCAATACCACTACCCAGCCTGGACAAAAATCTTTTGCGTTCTTGCCCTGGCCCCAAGCGGAAAAAAACACTGGGGCACCCAAAATTACCGGGCCGCGGGGTTTTTCAAATGAAAAAAATAGAAGATGTGAGATGTTAAATATCACAAAACAGACAATTTTTAAATAAAATTTGAAACTCTCTTCCAATCGTCACTCTGTTAAAAAAGTGTGAAATCTTGCTATCCAATAAGTACTCTCTTTGAATTAGTGTAGATATGTTCCAATACAGTCACTTTTTTAAATGTAGTGTAGAACTACTGCTATCCAATACAGTACTACTCTGTTGAGAATGTAGTGTAGAACTACTGCTATCCAATACAGTACTACTCTGCTGAGAATGTAGTGTAGAACTACTGCTATCCAATACAGTACTACTCTGCTGAGAATGTAGTGTAGAACTACTGCTATCCCAATACAGTACTACTCTGTTGAGAATGTAGTGCCGACTACTGCTATCCAATACAGTACTACTCTGTTGAGAATGTAGTGTAGAACTACTGCTATCCAATACAGTACTACTCTGTTGAGAATGTAGTGCCGAACTACTGCTATCCAATACAGTACTACTCTGTTGAGAATGTAGTGCCGGCTGCATTCTTTTGTCTGCACCTGCTTGTACAGTACAGGCCTGGGTCCAGATAGTAGTGTTTATACCTTCGCTTCAGGTTCATTTATTAAAGCCAGCTAGGCCTCTCTGTGACAGCAGGGGAAAATCTGCACCTTGAAATTGAGTGATTGAATGGCAAGTCTCTATTCAAAAGCTAAACAGCAGACTTCCAAGTCGAATAGAAAACCTCAGACTGAACTTTAATATTGACTGAGTTCTGTTTTGTGTTGGAACATCTCATTTTAATACAGACTGCATAGAATAGAATATAATACAGAGGGAAAACTTCCCATAAGAAAGTTGGTATAAAAATAACTAACTTAATTCATTAACCATGATCGCATCTACAGTACACCATGAACAATGTAGGCATCTGATTTGATACAGAAGACAGTATATATTTTTCAGCCTATTAAAATGTCCCTCCACGTTAAACATTTTCCAAGAACAACTCAATCAAGATGCTTGTCTAGAATCTTCTTAGAATGTAGACTACTTGTAAATACTTAGCAGAAACAGTGGAGAATGTGGGTTAGCAGGCTAGGTCTAACACTGCTTCTTCATCTAGCTGCCAACTCAAACCATTTAAACAGTCCTGTCTGAGTTCTGGCAGCCGGCCTGAATCCCTGTGAAACTGTCTGTCCCCTGTTACATAATACAACTACCCATGCTGGTGCTGCTGTACATGGCCACACCAACTTTACAATCTCTCAGCTCTCTCTGATATCTCCTTGTAGCTATATGCTGGTTAGCAAATAATATATTATTCCGCACAATTCTTAAGAGACAAACGTCGTGCAATTAGAGCACTATAGAGGGTAAAACTAACTGGTCCAGAAACATTTACACCAGAAGGACATCACTGGGAGACCTCTCTCCCCTCAATTCAATCCAAAGGGATTTATTGGCATGGGGAAACACATGTTTACATTGCCAAAGCAAGTGGAATAGATATCTCTCTCTCTCTCTCTCTGTGATTTTCGGTCGCTCCAAGGGTGTTACATAACAGTCAGCTCTCTGCTCTGAACCAGCTCACTGTAGTCACTCAACGGCCAGGCAATATAACAGAAGGAATTTTGACATGATATATGAACGGTTGACATATAGCCTACATAGATAACCCAAACGTTATGTCAAAATTAAACAGATTGTGTCAATTTGAAGTGAACTTGAATTCGCTGCGTAACAGGAAGAAGGGGGGTGTGGCTGTACTGTCTGTCCTGTAAAAACACAATTTCTATATTATGTCATGTATTTAAATACAATACAAATACTGTCAATCAGGAAAAATTGCAACGCATGGATAAGGACAATCTACTTAGTGAGACTGCAAATGACCATTAGTAATACCACAGTAGACGATTGAGTGTGGACTTGTACAGTGTGACCGCCAGTCCAGCTGTAATGTGAAGCATAGTTTCAACTTCATGGCGACACAGTCAAGTCTTTTTGAAGTTACACTGAAGGAATTGATGTCACTGTTTGCATGGATATCCAAAGCAAATGTCACGCAGCTAGCTTGGCAAAATAGCATCTTAAAAATGCAACAACTGAGCACATAAATCGTGGCTATAACAAGTGATCGGGAAATCTGTCAATCATATAGGCCTTTTTGTTAAATGTTGTCTAATTGTTATCGAATACAATAAATCAAGAACAGTTCTGCTAAAATAATAGACCAGAGAAAGAAGAATCGTCTAAAGGAATGGACCAGAGAAAGAAGAATCTCAGCCTCTTTCAAGTCAAGAGGGAAGCACTTTCAAGTTGTCCTTCCACCTTCTCCTTCATTTTCAACAGATTTCACTGCATTTTTTGGGAAATAATTCTCACGGTATTAAATCTAAATATTTTGTTATCTACCTTTGCTGGAGCCGGAACAACTCTGTCTTCTAACAGGGGTTTGGTGGTGGTCGTCGGTTTGGAGGGTCTCCAGGTTCGCCGGCGTGTCCATGACTGGAGTAGCCGGTTTAGAGACGCTGTTTCCCGCGTCGCTGGAAGCAGGGTCCGGCGAGGACTCCATATTAATCTCCATACAACTCTCCTATTGACACATGTGAACTAGGCCGGATGAATATCTAACGTAACTAGTCAAACAATAACGAGCTGTAAAAGCGTGTCAAGCTGATTTACCGAAAGGCTGGAACTAGTGCAATGTGTTGGTGCGTCTGTCTTCATGTGAAGTGGGGTGTACAGATGTGGTTGTCCACATGCAGCGCTGTAGCAGGCACAGTCAGCCTGTGTCATGTTGCTCATAGAAATCTTCAAAACCAGCGCCTAGTGATAACGACTGATGATGCGTAATGTTTAGAATAATAAGGATATTATTCTATACCCTATAGACCTACAGTACATTTTACATTACATTTACATTTTAGTCATTTAGCAGACGCTCTTATCCAGAGCGACTTACAGTTAGTGAATTATTTTTTATTTTTTTTATACTGGCCCCCCATGGGAATCGAACCCACAACCCTGGCGTTGCAAATGCCATGCTCTATCAACTGAGCTACATCCCTGCCGGCCATTCCCTCCCCTACCCTGGACGACGCTGGGCCAATTGTGCGCCGCCCATGAGTCTCCCGGTCGCGGCCGGCTGCGACAGAGCCAGTACAGTTTGACGGACTGTGATGGACAGCTAAGAGAATTACCTGTGGGTTTTTTTGGACGAATAATTACAATGTGGTGAATGGCAATAATTAATAATTAATAATGAATTAGGTGAAAACGGTATTGAATTGTTGGGCTGATTTTGTTTAGGTTAAAATATGATAAAGAAAACCGCTTTTGGGCACTCGCCTAAATATGGTTTTACGCATGAGTGGGACACCAATGGAATATAATAAATATAGTCCAGTAGCCTATTGAACAATAATGACCCCTGCCTCCCATACAGCCCATCCCATCCCACTGTAATATGACTGACAACACCATGCCCAAAACATGTGGTGGCTCCGCCTTCCGCCCAGCCCCTCCTCTACCAAACCACGCCCCTCAGCAGCGCACGTGGGTTTCGACAAAACAATAACATTATAGCAAGGACTATAATGAATACTGACTAATATAAACTCTTTACATAATGATTAGCCTATTATTTATTATTATTATTATGGAATATAAGTATTATTAGACTACCATTATTATGAATAGCCATATAGTTGTTGTAATTTTTATTTATCAAGTCACAGATTCAGCAACTCAAAATATATATATATATATTTTTCCTCCTACTCCCCACTATCGAAGTTAAAATCAGGGAATGGGCTATGTTTCCAGGGTGTGTGACTGTCTCCTGTACTCTGATACTGTTTAATACAAGCGAAATATGCAGATGAGAACACCAGTCAATTAATACAGAATGAATGACTGTATTCCCTTCTCCTTTTCATCACCCTCTGTATGTCTAATTCCTCTTCTGAAACCCCTGAACATGGAAGATCTTACAGACGCTATGTCTATTGCTTTAGATTTCATCATTTAAATTAGTTGAATGTAAATCAAAGAGACGCCTATTATGGTTAGAGCCACAGGACGTTAAGTAGGATCCTAGCGTCCCCTCTGGTGTGTCTGACTCCACTCTGGGCTGAACAGAGACAGTGGTGTCCCAAATGGCTCCCTGTTCCCTATGGGCCTTGGTCAATAGTAGTACCACTATATAGGGAATAGGGTGCCATTTGGGATGCATTCAGTGTCCCATGCTGCTCCATGTGACAGCATGGCACACAGAGGCCTTGGATCACTACATTTAAAACACTTTTTTTTACTTTAGCTTCAGTAGTTAGTGTTTGATGACTGAGACAATGCTGAGTTTTCCATCTCCCAGGTTCCATAACCTTTACCCTCTGCCAGGTTCCATAACCTTTACCATCTGCCAGGTTCCATAACCGTTACCACCTGCCAGGTTCCATAACCGTTACCATCTGCCAGGTTCCATAACCGTTACCATCTCCCAGGTTCCATAACCGTTACCATCTCCCAGGTGCCATAACCTTTACCATCTGCCATGTTCCATAACTTTTATCCTCTGCCAGGTCCATTAACCGTTACCATCTGCCAGGTTCCATAACCTTTACCATCTGCCATGTTCCATAACTGTTACCATGTGCCAGGTTCCACAACCGTTACCATCTGCCAGGTTCCACAACTTTTACCCTCTGCCATGTTCCATAACCGTTACCCTCTGCCAGGTTCCATAACCGTTACCCTCTGCCAGGTTCCATAACCATTACCATCTGCCAGGTTCCATAACCTTTACCACCTGCCAGGTTCCATAACCTTTACCACCTGCCAGGTTCCATAACCGTTACCCTCTGCCAGGTTCCATAACCATTACCATCTGCCAGGTTCCATAACCATTACCACCTGCCAGGTTCCATAACCTTTACCATCTGCCAGGTTCCATAACCGTTACCCTCTGCCAGGTTCCATAACCTTTACCATCTGCCAGGTTCCATAACCGTTACCCTCTGCCAGGTTCCATAACCTTTACCCTCTGCCAGGTTCCATAACCTTTACCTACTGATCGTGGCCCAGGTCCCAAAGGTGTCATTCATTTGGTATTTAGGTGTGATTTACTCACCTCATTGGGTAACTAACCAGGTAAAGGTGAACAGGTCTCCCTCACCTCATTAGGTAACTAACCAGGTAAAGGTGAAAAGGTCTTATTCACCTCATTACAGTGAGGGAAAAAATTATTTGATCCCCTGCTGATTTTGTATGTTTGCCCACTGACAAAGAAATGATCAGTCTATAATTTTAATGGTAGGTTTATTTGAACAGTGAGAGACAGAATAACAACAAAAAAATCCAGAAAAGCGCATGTCAAAAATGTTATAAATTGATTTGCATTTTAATGAGGGAAATAAGTATTTGACCCCCTCTCAATCAGAAAGATTTCTGGCTCCCAGGTGTCTTTTATACAGGTAACGAACTGAGATTAGGAGCACACTCTTAAAGGGAGTGCTCCTAATCTCAGCTTGTTACCTGTATAAAAGACACCTGTCCACAGAAGCAATCAATCAATCAGATTCCAAACTCTCCACCATGGCCAAGACCAAAGAGCTCTCCAAGGATGTCAGGGACAAGATTGTAGACCTACACAAGGCTGGAATGGGCTACAAGACCATCGCCAAGCAGCTTGGTGAGAAGGTGACAAACAGTTGGTGCGATTATTCGCAAATGGAAGAAACACAAAATAACTGTCAATCTCCCTCGGCCTGGGGCTCCATGCAAGATCTCACCTCGTGGAGTTGCAATGATCATGAGAACAGTGAGGAATCAGCCCAGAACTACACGGGAGGATCTTGTCAATGATCTCAAGGCAGCTGGGACCATAGTCACCAAGAAAACAATTGGTAAAACACTACGCCGTGAAGGACTGAAATCCTGCAGCGCCCGCAAGGTCACCCTGCTCAAGAAAGCACATATACAGGGCCGTCTGAAGTTTGCCAATGAACATCTGAATGATTCAGAGGAGAACTGGGTGAAAGTGTTGTGGTCAGATGAGACCAAAATCGAGCTCTTTGGCATCAACTCAACTCGCCGTGTTTGGAGGAGGAGGAATGCTGCCTATGACCCCAAGAACACCATCCTCACCGTCAAACATGGAGGTGGAAACATTATGCTTTGGGGGTGTTTTTCTGCTAAGAGGACAGGACAACTTCACCGCATCAAAGGGACTATGGACGGGGCCATGTACCGTCAAATCTTGGGTGAGAACCTCCTTCCCTCAGCCAGGGCATTGAAAATGGGTTGTGGATGGGTATTCCAGCATGACAATGACCCAAAACACACGGCCAAGGCAACAAAGGAGTGGCTCAAGAAGAAGCACATTAAGGTCCTGGAGTGGCCTAGCCAGTCTCCAGACCTTAATCCCATAGAAAATCTGTGGAGGGAGCTGAAGGTTCGAGTTGCCAAACGTCAGCCTCGAAACCTTAATGACTTGGAGAAGATCTGCATAGAGGAGTGGGACAAAATCCCTCCTGAGATGTGTGCAAACCTGGTGACCAACTACAAGAAACGTCTGACCTCTGTGATTGCCAACAAGGGTTTTGCCACCAAGTACTAAGTCATGTTTTGCAGAGGGGTCAAATACTTATTTCCCTCATTAAAATGCAAATCAATTTATAACATTTTTGACATGCGTTTTTTCTGGATGTTTTTCTTGTTATTCTGTCTCTCACTGTTCAAATAAACCTACCATTAAAATTATAGACTGATCATGTCTTTGTCAGTGGGCAAACGTACAAAATCAGCAGGGGATCAAATACTTTTTTTCCCCCTCACTGTAGGTAATTAACCAGGTAAAGGTGAAAAGGTCTTCTGTAAAAAAGCAGTAGCTGACTTACACCCCAAAATGTTGGTGGAGAGGTGAGGTGAGGTGAGGTGTTGACTAACAGAACAGTAAACTGTGGAAAAAGAAAGAAAGAAAGTTGCACTCTGTACCTGCTCCCAACAATGTCATGGGTGAAAGCCCATTAAACTGGAGCAGGTATAGATTGACTTTCTTTATTTTCACACTTAAAGGTGAGTTAAGTTTGTCAGAGGTACAGTACGTCTGGTCATGTCAGAGGTATGTCTGGTCATGTCAGAGGTATGTCTGGTCATGTCAGAGGTATGTCTGGTCATGTCAGAGGTATGTCTGGTCATGTCAGAGGTACGTCTGGTCATGTCAGAGGTACAGTACGTCTGGTCATGTCAGAGGTACGTCTGGTCATGTCAGAGGTATGTCTGGTCATGTCAGAGGTATGTCTGGTCATGTCAGAGTTACGTCTGGTCATGTCAGAGGTACGTCTGGTCATGTCAGAGGTACGTCTGGTCATGTCAGAGGTATGTCTGGTCATGTCAGAGGTATGTCTGGTCATGTCAGAGGTATGTCTGGTCATGTCAGAGGTATGTCTGGTCATGTCAGAGGTATGTCTGGTCATGTCAGAGGTACGTCTGGTCATGTCAGAGGTATGTCTGGTCATTTTAGTTATTTAGTATGGTAACGACAAGGCCAACCGGTTTGGCGTGAACCTGTGTTAAGAGGAGGTG